TACTTTCCTAAAGCTGGTGATTTTGTGTCATTTGTAACAACCTGAGTGGATTTGGAGAACACTCTCCCAAGTCAAATATCACAGGAATGGAAAAATAAGCATCACATGGGCTCAATACTAAGTTGAAACTAGTAGTTTAATTACTGCATGCTCACTCAATTAAAATCAAGAATGCAGGTCAGGGGAGAGGGGAAGAGGGCTCAGCAAGTTCCCACCCACAGGAAACAATGCACCGGGATGCGACACACTTCCTGGGTGAAGGAAAGGACAACTCTGACTTTATCTTACAAACAATGTAACCTAATCGTGTGTGTTCTCATATTAATCTGCAGTTAAAAAAAGAAGTTACTTTCCTTAGTAAGAGGGAAAGAATTACCATCCATCATGTTTAAAGTGATACATACTGTTGGCAAAATGCATTTCATTCATAACTTTCAAGCATCTGTCTAACAGGAAGTACTAGATTGAGTTGGTTACCTGGCAAATGGGCAGTACCACTAGTGCTCTGCTAGTTTGCTTTTCATCTTCTCCTGTTCTTCTGTGAAACAGGAAGGCAGAGGACTGAATGTCGTCTACCGACCTTCACTCCTTAAACACCAGCTCCCTCCTCTTACCTGCCTCTGCAAATTGATCTTGCACTAATTTCTCTGTGGCTCGAGCAGCTTGCCCTTGGCGCTGTCAGCTCCTTCATCTGTGATCAGCCTTCCTGTTACTTTCTCTTTCTCCTCAGATCCCATCTTGACTTAGTTCCCGTCTCATGTAAACTCAATGGGGAAGCGTTGGTGAGATGTTAATTCGGGAAGCATGGTTTGCAATCTGTGGAGCAATGAGAACAGCTGGTGCTGCTGCTGTTCGGTTTTTCTTGGCAGATGGACACAGGGAGAATTAAGGATGGGGAAATTTGCCTCAGCCTTGGCTGCTGTTCTCTCCAGAAATGTTACATTTGCCAGCTCGCTCTCTCCTATAGCCACTCCAGCACTAGGACTTAATACTTTAATGCATTCCCCTAAATTCACATCACGGCCCGGAGCTTCCTTGTGTAGACTTTATTCTAGGCTTCCTACCTAGCAGTCCTCTGTCTCATTGACCACACTGAGAGGCAGATTTGGTTCTATTTAAGCAGCTTACAGTATACATTAAGTAAAGGTTATTTCACATCCCAAATAATTTTAGGTTAATACCTAATTGTTTGTCTATTTATTTATTAAAAGTAAACTTGGTTATAGTCTCTGCATCATAAAATTTACCACGGCTTGAGCCACCAGCACAATCATATTAGTGTATTTCCATCACTTGTAAAACTTTTTGTACCCCTTTGCAATCGTCTCCACTCCCTAATCCCAGGTTCCAGCAACCACTGTGCTTTATTTCATTAGAGTTCGATGTTTTTAGAATGTCTTTAAAATAAAATCATACATTGTACAGATTGTCTTGATTCACTCTTGGCTTCTTCGTTTATCCTGATGATTTTAATTCATCTGTGTTCTTGGGTGTAGTCTTAGTCCTTTTCACTGTGGGTTTAGCTGTTTTTCGTTTGATGAACATGTCAGGTGTTTGTCATTTTTACCTGTGATGAATAAAGCCGCCAAAAACATTCCAGGGCAAGTGCTCGTGGGGATATGGGCTCTCATTTTCTGGGGTAAATGTGTAGGAGTGGAATTAGTGGGTTGTATGATAAGAGTTGGTTTAATCTGGTAAGAAAAGGTCACTTTATTTTTTAACAGCATTTTACATTTCCTTGCAAGGCGCCGATGACCACTTCTTCACCAGCCCTTATCAATCTTTTCAGAGTTTAACTATTCTAATGGTGTGCAGTGGTATATTGCCATATTATGCTATTCTACACACACTAAAGCTGTCCAAGATATTTTCAAAGATCTTTTCCTGTGTTTATTTACTACTTCCATACTGCATTTGGTGAATTTTCTATTAAAATATTTTATGCACTTTTTATCCTAATTACTGAGTTGTAAAAAGTCTTCATATTTTCTGAATACCAGTCCTTTATTTCATATATGTTATACAAATATTTTCTCCTAGACTATGACTTGCTTTTTCATTCTCTTAACAGTATCTTTGAAAGGGAAAAAAGATTAATTTTGATCTTTTGTGAATGTTTTACCTTATAGTTGTGTCTTGTGTCTCACCTAATCATATCCTTGCTAACCCAAAATCACACAAATTTTATTCTGTTACCTTCTAGAAATCGAATAGTTTTAGGTTTTCTTTTAAGTTTATGATTCATGTACTTCTAGCTAGTATTTGTATGGTTGGTGATAAACTATAAGGTTCATTATTTGTGTTTAGGTATTAAATTATTTTGGTACCATTTGGTGAACCCAGTCCCTAATACCCTGATATGCCCAGAAGCAGAAATCTTCCCCAAAGTGTGGCTTTGATTAAAAAAGGAATAGAATAAAATGACAATAGTTTAAAAAGACTTTTTAAAACCACTTTAGTAGAGGAATCTCAGAAGTAGTTTACATGATAGAGTTCCAATTTAATATGACTATATTTCCAAAAAGGAAAGATGAATTGCTATGTTGTTTGTTCACAATTTTCTATTTAGGAATTCATAAAAACCATAGTTACTGTAATCTCTGAACTGTTAGTATAGAAAACATGGTCAGACATGAATTTTTCATATTGATCTCTCTTCCTATTTTTGAAATAAACATATTTTGAATTTAAATGTAGCTGCAATAAATGATAATAGACTTTTTTTAATTGTAAAGGCTTCTCCTAATATTTTTTCATAAGTACTTACTACATAATGAACATCTTATTGTTTGAATAACAATACTATGTATTATTATTAGTTCTTCAGGAATGAAAATACTTTCAGTATTTGTCCAATGGAAGCAATTCTGTCATGACAATTAGTTTCGTTGCTTGCACAATTTAATTCATATGGAAAATAATGTCAAGAGGATCTATATTTTCCATAACCCTGAAGTGGGTCCATCATCAATTTTCATGTAGTGCATTTGTAACTTGTCACCATTACAAATGTATTTTCATTTTATCTCAGTTGTAGATTATTTATATATTAAGTTGATACATTAAGCCTTCTGCTTTCTGTTGTGGTTTTAAAGTTTGACTTGTTACCCTCTCAGAGTGGGTAAGCTCTGTGCACACATCATAATACTCAGATAACCTATTTTTGAGCCCTGTAGGATGACCAGACAAGGGATATCATAGCTGTACACAGATTTAGTTCTGTTATTAAATAACTATGGGGTGTGACAGACCCAAAGAGTTTACGTAGGTCTTTCTTAGGTGGTAGAGATAGAATACATATTAAACCTATTTTAATTTCTGCCTTATGCAGCCTCACAATAAGACTTCACACATGCAAATGAGAAATTGTAAAAAAAAAATAATAAAACCTTGTGAAAAAAATGTTAGTTTAATTAAAGCAGCTTTGTGGTGTGAGAGCCAATTCTGCATTTCAATGCCAAATTGACCATGTAAGTATTCTAACCTTATGTCAAATTCTCCTTTACATTCGGACTGTGATTTTTAACCCTTTTATCTTAGGGCACACTTGAACCTATTGTTAAATTTCCATGGCACACTTAAATTAGGTTGATCAAAAATAAAAAAAGTAAATAAAGAGAATATACTAACTGTGCTTTAAACTTCTTACAAAAATAATTTCATTAATGATTTTTAAAAATTTTCATGGCACACCCAAGATCCGTTTCATTAATGATCTTTAAAATTTTTCGTGTCACACTAGTTGATAATCATTGCATAGGAGATATGCTTTAAAGGATTTGAAACACATATTGTATTTAAAATAGTGCTTGGCACATGGCAAGTACGCGATGATTGTTATTATTATTGTCATCTGTAGTGTGAGGGAGGAAGAGACCCAGAGATTTATGTTTTAAGGTTGCCTGATAAAAAGAAAGTATAAAGTACATGAAATAATTTGGAAAGTAACCAACATAAATTATCCAATGAAAGTCCTAGTACTGGCTAGTGACAAATAGAAAAATAAAAGGTAGACAAGAGTATAAAATCAAAAAAAAACTACCCAAATAATCTGATAATTTTATAATTTATCTTTAACAAAATGACTGTACCTGATTCTGATTTGATTTTAGTGGTTATTCAAAAATCAACCATTAGGTTATAGCAATGCATTTTTATACCATGTATATCTCTTCCCAAATTCTTTCTTAGAGTTTCTTTTATGTTTACTACTATACTAGTTGGTATAGTTTCCAGAAGCATTTCTTTTGCTTTTCCCTTTCTTCTGGTATGAGAACTCTTCTTTCCATTAGGGAACTCATTTCTTATGGCTTGGGAGGAACTGCCCCCGCCTACCATCCCCCAATTTTGTACATAAATAAGCAATGGCCAGTGGCTGATGAGGGTACCTTATTTTCCTTGACAGCAGTCATTGGTTCAACATTTAGCTTATTGATTGCCCTTACTCCAAAGTACATACAATTTGAGCTTTTCTCCTACTTCATGAGGTCTGCAGTAATCGCTTGCTATTTCTAGTGAAGTAGAGTTTGCTGGTTTGTCCTTTTGCAATGACTAAATGATTAGTGGACAGTGTCTCAGATCATAGAAAGAGAAGTTATTCTACTCAAAAAGTGACAAAATGATTGATGACTGTGTCTTTAAAGCACAGAGTGAGGATTTTAGACGGATGATGAACCATCTTCCCTGATGTTAGCTCCAAGCTATAGTGCTGGCCTCTGTGGTAGTTAGGGCACTATTCTGTTTTCTGTTTTAAGAAACAATGTCCCTCACAGTATCTTTTTCCTGGTCCAGGTATTTCCCACATTGGAGTCCTACTCTTAAAGTAAGCATCTGTGTTTCCTCTTCAAGTCCCCACTCCATATCTGATTCAAATTTTATCCATGGT